TAAAAACATTATTTTTTGCAAGTATCTGGAAGAATGTTTTCTTCAAAATGTGGTTTGTATAAGGTTAAGGAAATTAATTTAAAGACAAACTATTGATTTATTGATGTAGGTTTTAAATAGTAACTAAGCAGTGTAATGTAACTTTCTTTATAGAAAAATAAATAATGACTTTTGTAAATAGATATTTTCGATTTTTACAATTATTGAATCGAAGCATAAAATTCATTATAATTGATGTGCAGTCATTTTAATTGAATCAAATATTTATTCCTGCTATCTGTTTGACTCTACAGATATTGGCTGCTTGATATTGATGTTTGGTTTAAGTATTAATGAGTCGTTTCATCATATAAAATGGCACATGTTTGTTTATTTTTTATCCTGGATTACTACTTTGCATGGTTTTTAAGCCTGAAAGTCCACAAAATCAGGCATAAAGAAAAGTGGAAATCATGAAATCAGTTGTTAAAGAACTTTCCTGGGAAATATAAAAACTAAAGGTGTTAGCATATATGGTTTTTATAGAAAAGCTTTTTTAAAGCCAAACATAGAAATCCTCATCATATAAAAGTCAGCTCTGTAAAGTGAACAAACTTCAGTGATAATTGAATTCTGTGACATCCTATAACATTTTGTATCAGCCAAATGTCATTTAAATGCCAGAGAAGGAAAAGAATGAAAAGATTACGACAGTTTATGAATGCATCACCAAATCTCTGAAGAAATGTTTTATATAAGGATTCTGGATGCACAGTTTATTGGATAATGGAGACAATAAACCAGTTGAAATCTGCATTATTTTTTTTTGTATGTGAGAGGAAATTATGATAGTGTAAGAAATATAAAAATCACTTCCCTGTCATTCATCTTTTTTATAATCCAGTATGTATGTAGGTGTATTAATGTTTCAGTTTTAATAATTAGAATTGTTAATGTGTAAAGATTTAAGTCAAAAAGTCACACAAAAAGAATTGCATAAACAGCTGGCTCCAAAGAAAACAAAATTGTCAAAAATAAAATTTAAAATAAGATTTAAAATTTGTGAACATAGTGGAAATCATCTGAAGTATAAAGAATAGATTGTTATAGATTTTATCATTTAATGGGTAGGAAATAAAGTAATAATGTGTAACAAAGTTCAGTTAACGAGATCCATGGTTTGAATCTAAAAAAGTTCAGTCAATAGTACAAAAATTTCTTTCTATGTTAGTATCATGCTAAAATTCACACAAAAAATGTACTTCAAAATAAAAACAAACACAAGATAAATAAATGCCTGGGAAATCTAATGATGCTCGGATTTGGTCACAGTTTGAATTTGTAAATCTGTTGCTACTGGAAATGATGTTGTGATTGGAGATCGTGTCATGACTAGTCTGTCCTCTTTTAGCCAAGTAGCATCCACAATGGCTGGCTTGAGCTTCTCCAAAAAATATTTTGTTTTGCATTGTTAACGCAAAACGTTAAAATCTTAATGTCTCATCTGGATCTTGAATTGCCTTTCATATGTGACTGCAATGCATTTGACTTGGCTAAATTGCACACTATTACCAACTCAGTGTTCAGGACATTTATATTTGAAAATTTCAAGATGTTATGTAATGCTGAAGAAGCTTTTACAAATTTTGGTCCTTTTATTTTTCCACAAATGATTGGTAGTCTGTGTGTCTTTAGCAGGAAAGCATCAAGGACATGGTACTTGGAGTCTGCAGAATTTTTTTTTCTTGAGAAAAAAAATTGGTTTTCACTGGTCATGAATTTACTACAGCAGTAGAATAAACAACTGCCAAGCACAATTACTTGCTTGAAAAAACATGATACATTTTGTGAAATAGTGTCATAGTAAAATTCTCCCCACACTTGGTGGTTTAATTAAATATCCTGTAATGCAGAAAAATATATCTGAAAAAAATAGTGAATAAACAATAAAATACTTTGGAAGGTTCAGGTAATATTCACAACATTTCAGCCCTTGTACTTCTTCAGGTGATTGGAATTTCAAATCAAACCCTTTATTTGATCCACTGGGGGTAGATTGTCCGAGTTCCACGTGCTATGCCTCTTCTGGATGTCTCAGTTATTGCCCTTTAACTCAACTCTCCAAGTTTGGTTCAACATTGCTGTAGTCTGGTATTGAACTCACAACTCTTTTGGTTTAGTCACTGGATATAACCAACACCTTTATCCACTGAGCCATGTGTCCTAATGGAAAAAGGCGCTGAAGAAGGCCAGAATGTACAATGGCCAAAATGTTGTGAATATGGCAATGAAGATGAGGATAATAGTCTCAATAATGTAAGTGACAACCTCTTGGTTAATAATGTTGTCTTTTTTTTTTTTTAAATTCTTTTAGAATTGAGTATGGTTGTTCTTCCACCATGTTTTGTATGTAGTTTGAAATATTTTCTAATATTGTAAGTTTAGCATTACGTCCATATATAAACTATTGTGGTAGCAGTATAAGGGTTCCATTACAATGGAGCTTAGTATGAAGGTCAAAACTAGTCTATAAATTAGAATATTATTTTCCTTTTTTTAATTCAAAATCCTTACGACAACACTTTGCTTTTTCCAATTGAATAAAATGATGTAATTCATCAGTTTGGACCAGTTTTGTAGGCTTTCTGAATTCCCTTGTATTCAGCAAAAGAGACTGTTTTCTTACATTTTCTGAATGTATTGTAGGAATTGGACGTAAATCCCAAATCAGTTTGTTTTGTTTTCCTTTTAAAATAAATTTCTCTTCAAAATGTTTCATACAGACAAATGAATTTTTCGTTGGAAACCAATCAATATGATTAACAAGTTTTATCAATTTTTCTATGGGGTTGAATTTTCCAAGAAAAAAAAATTGTCAATATTTTTTCAGTTAGTAACATATCCAATAGAACAGCCAAATGCAAAACATTTGTTTACCATTTTTGTTAAACAAAATATCACAACAAACTTTACAATTAAATCTTTAAATGCAATGGACTATAGAGGTAGAAAATTTACCTAATAGCGTTCATTTACAAAAAAAAATCCTAAAAGTGAGGTAACTCACTACTATTTATAATTCATGGATTAGTGAAAAAAAAAAGTTTAAAAAAGCATTTTTAGTGTTGAATACATGGCTAGGGAATTGAAATAATGTCTGATAAATTCTACATAATTGTACGTTGATAATTTATTTTCTAAGAATTCAATTTTTAAAAGGTACATCTCATCTAGATGAGCAATTTTTCTAACTGGCCATTCTCATTTGTTTACATTACTTCAGGCTGTTAGAATTTAGCTTATTATGTGGCATGTGGGGCCACATAATACTAGTCGGCCATAATTTAACATGTTAGACAAATAAGAGTTTTGTTTGGTGGGGGAGTATGTTTCTGAACTTTTCTGTGACAATGAATTGTTCTTTCCACTCCAACATTTCTTGTGATGAAAAATATGTCTTGAAACTGGATTTCATTAATTAACACATTGGGAAAGTCGCGAGTTAATATTTTATTATTTTTCGCATCATGAACAGCAGTTTTTGGAGTTTTTATGCCAGAAAGGTCTGACAAAAATTCCTATGTATCATCACATTGCCATTTTTTAAATGCATCAACATGACTCTTTTCACATGGGAAACGTTACATGCTTTTTATCCTGTTATTGGCATTGTGCTGAGTGAGAAATGAACATTTCATATTTGCTTGCTTATTCATGTCACACTGTGTTCAACAGTTGATGGGTGATAATAATATTACATATCGGATAAATAATATCATGTTGTGGTAACTAATGTAATAAGAGAGCTTGGCAGAAAGGTTTATTATCCCATTTCCCCCATTATGGGCATTATTCATGATCTAACACCATATTTCACAGACGAAACAGAATGGCTGAAAGAAAACAGAATGATAAATATGCTTTGATCTCAGAGAGAGTTTTATACCACTAAGTCATGCATAAAATGATATATACTTATTTACATGTGTTCCACACAGAGAGAATATAGTATATATCTACACAGCAAGCAGAGTGAAAGGAGAATGAAAAGATACACTCTTACATATAATATAGAGATTTTTCTGTGTTTCTGGAGAAGCCATGTTTAGGACTCCAGGTTCAAATGGACCAGATTCATCTATGTCCCAAACAAGGATATATTCCACAAACTGGAAATAGTGAGTCTTAGGTTATCCCAAATTGTTTTTGATAGTTTCTTTCTATATCTGAAGAAGATGTATTCATGAAAAGGGAAACAACACCATGTACTTGTAAGATGCTGAGGAAGGTAGATTTAGGCTCAGCCCCATTTGACTGGCCCAGACCCCCAAAAAAAAACAAAAAACATTCAAGTTGGCTCCTGCAAATCAACTGAAATTGACTACCACTTTAGTCACTGTATGGAGTGACGTTCCATGACCCACATGATTTCATCTCCAGCAAAGAGAGATGATTGCTCTTTGTATTCTTACACCAATGTCAAAAAATTGTCAGTGGTTAAAAATTACAACCAATTACTATTATATGTAAATTCATTGCTAATGATTTTATTATAGTATGCACTGAAGAAAGAAAAAGTGGTTTGTGAGGAAAAAATTATTTTAATTTTATTGATGTAATATTGCTATTACATATACAATTTCACAGAGTTGTCTTACATGCAAGGCTGTACAATTCAGTCAGCATTTTTAATTTCATTATTTTAACAATCTTTTTGCCCGTATTGTAAAAAGAAAAATGAAATTATCCACAATCTTTCTACAAGAAAAAAAAGTAGACAGAAACATGAAAAAATACCTCATGAAATAATTCTTTTTTCCAGCCACAATATTAAAATTTCAAGAGTTTTTTTTATATGCATTTTTATTCTTTTACTTACAAACTATTCAAATGAGGTAAAATATGCCAATCTGAAATGATTTCTCCTTTAATGAACTATTTAGCATATAAGAAGAGGAAAAAAGTACATGTATTTTTGCTAATTGGACTCATTTGTGATGATTGATATGTTGTTTTTGCAGCAAGCCAGGCTTCCAAGAAAGGTGTTTATCAAGAAGCAGCAGAACTTCCCCACACAGAATTCGCTCCCAAATATAAAATGTATGACTACCTTCCAAGCCAGTCAATACAAGAAAGTAGTATGGTGATTGATCTTCTGCATAGTCCAGGGCAGCAGAGACGACTGAAACAGAAATATCGGAATGGAGATGTTGATGGCACCATGCTTCTTGAAGAAGACAAACATTCAGTGCCACAAAACCCAGAAACATAACCCCCACCCCCAAACCAACCAAATTCAATAATTCTGTTCATGTGAAATTATTTCCCAAAAGTCCACCGAAGCCATTTTGGATAGATTTTATAATTCCCTCCCCTATTTTTGTAATTTCTGATATGCCATTTAAGATGAATTTATGATTAAGAAGAAGGGAAGACATTGTTGTTCCTTAAAAGAGTAAAATAAAGAAAGAACCGAAAGATTTGAATATTCAGTTGTGTATTATACAGAAATTGTCCTTCATTTTCCTCATTCTATAAAAGGAAACAATATTTCAAGGCCTTCATCCCAATTATTTATAACCAAGTTTGACTATTGAGAAAGAATTGAAACATTGATACAGTTTCTGTCCAACTGTCTGGCTTGTTAATCATCACAGTAACTAAACATCATTCCACGATTGTCACACTGTCAAATTAATGTTCCTAAAAATTATTCAATGTCAAACAGACAAAAAAAAATGCCAGTTTTTTTTCCATTTATGTTTCTGGTTATTTGTTGAAAAAAGTTTGTTTTTAAGCAAATTGTGAATTATATTTGTTGCTGTTGCTACAGTTTGTGGCTAATCCATATTAAATATTTGTTTTGACTCACAAGTGCCATCATCATTTTCCCCCAGCTTTCATCAGTAAAATATAGAGACACAAGATCATGTCTGCTGTAAAGAAACCTCTTCTTTAACTGACATTCTGAGCAGTTTTCTTCTGCAAATATTTAGAATTAATCACTAAAACCCAATTTGAAATTTTATCTGAAAAACCTCCAAACTGAAGATTTGGACACCAAAATATGTGTTTTTCTCCTTACAATTTTATCAAAAATGCAGTCTATTTGTTTTTTTTTCCTTTTTTTAAATTAAAATCTAAGGGTTTTTTTTTCAGCAAATACAATGATTTTTATTTATTCATTAAGAAATTTAACCAATTTGATATAATTGAGAAAAGCAGTAAGAAAAAGAAATAGCAATGTTCTTGTTGATCTGTTGATCATGAAGAAATTGGGAGATTGACAAAGGCTTTGACTTCTTACATTATAGAATTTCTCAGTATCCAAAACAGCTTTTTATTTAATACCAACAAAGCTGTCATTTTTTATGTAACAAAAGGAAGTAGAATTTTAAAAAGAAATAAATCTTAGTATTCAAAGCCAATATTTTTCTGGATATTTTGATAATTTTAAAGTCAGGATCCAGAAAGAGTATGAAAATCAGAGAGAAATTCATAAATTTATGATCTGAGTTTTTAGCGTATATTTTGTAAGAATTTTTTTTCATATTATGATTTTAAAAAGACTGCATTTGTCTTGCTAAAAAATGATGCAAATCATTTTAACAAATTTAAAAAAAAAAAAGGAAAACATGTTCCCTTCTTTTCTACTTTGTCATTATGGTGTGATTTTGACTGATATTGTTTTAGATGCTGGTATCCTGCTCTAGAAGTGTGAAACTCATGCAATATCAGTATATATATTTTTTGTTTACAATAAAATTATTTTCTAAGTTTCCAAAGCATAGAATTGAATTTACATCAATTAAATAAATGCAGACTGTAATGAACTGATTTGTTTACTGTTAAACATTTGGTAGGTGCAGATCTTTCTGCTGATTAAAAACATTTTCTTTAGATAAAAGCTCAACACGTTATAACAGAAATATATTCAGACTTTTCCCAATTTTGTAGATTTCCATCTTTCAATTCAATTTCAACTTTTTAACTCTAATTGAAAATACAACTCAAAATTTTTTTAATAGAAAATCTAAAACTAATAACATAACATTTATAGATCATCTAAAGTGAAAAAATGTTTTAATCAAAATAACTTGAAAATATTGCAGATATTAACAAAGAAAGAAATTCTAAATTTTTTTTTCTAATAAAGAAAGAAATTCTAATTTTTTCTTGTAAAAATAATTTTCTTTTAAATTGTCATTCATGACATTTTTTTAAAGCTAACAGAATTCTAACAAACTGAGCACTTCTTTAGAAAAGACTAAAAAATGGTACTTCTTACTGGAAACATTACATTTTTTTAAGGCTTTTCAAGAGTGACCAAAAATGTTAAATGTTGGAAACTCACCAATAGTAAATAAGTTTTTATTTTCAAAATTTGTTTTTTTACTGTTAATATTCTGCTGGAATAGTAAATGATATAACTATTTACTATCATTTTTTATTTATTCATTTTTTTTTTTTTTATATCTCACAAAAAAAATAATACCTCTTAAAAATCTTTGTTAGAAAAGATAATCATTTACTAAAATAAAAAAGTCACTTGACTAACTCACTGAAAACCGTTTCCTCCATTGAAGAGTGCTTCTTTCTTTCATGACTTTTCAGTGGGTGTTTATCTCCCTTTGCTCTTTTATTGTGCCTTTGACAAGTGCTCTGCACAATGTTTTGAATCAATTAGTTTTCCACATCTTGAGCCCAAATTCCACATCACAATACTTAACATAACTGTTATCATTCTATATTTTACAAAAGTCCTGATATTCAATGTAGAATTGTAAAAATCTGAGAAAACACCTCCTGCATAAGCCCATTTCATTTCTTCAGCAAATTGGAAAATAACTTTTATGCATTTGTTGGAGCAAAAATTTAGGAAGACATTTTTTTTCCTTAATTCAGATTTTCCTTATCTAAGTATCAATTATTATTGTAATTCATGACTATTTACGTTAATCACATAAGTCATTATATCACAAAGCAATATGTCACAAATATTTTGGTTCCTTGTCAAAAGAAAAAAAAAAGGGGCTTAACCATTGAAAGGAAGAAATTGGGCCATTTATTTTGGTCCAAGTGCAAAAAAAAAAATTAGATACACAACCAATAAAGAACAAAAGATAAATTTCTTTGGAAAAAATAATTTACAAAGAAATTTATATTTCTTTAAATGTCTCTTTGTCAAATTTGAAAAATAAAAAAGGGCAAAGATGTAATGCTAAAGTTTTGGTTTAAAGAAAAAGCAAAAAACAAAAGAAAAATTAGATATAAGAGAGGATATTATCGCAAAAAGTAAATTTTAAAAACACCAAAATGGAATTTAATAACCAGGGACATTTTCAAATTTAATTACAAAAAATTCTTTCCATACAACATTTATCCAATTCAACTGACTTCCTGCACACTTCAAATATCAAGTATTTTTTTTAATAATAAAAATAAAAAATTATTCCTTCAAATTTAATCTTTTCTTCTAGATTTATCTTTTATGTGGAACAGCTTCACATTATAAAAATTCTTTTATAGCTGCTTCCTCAGACCAACTTCTTTTAAGACAACTCTGACTTTCAATAAGTATTTAATCAAACTTGCTTCTCTTCTCTAATTTAAACCATGCATGACTGCAGATTCCCTTAACCATTAATAAACATCTTACAGGGCTTTTCCAATTTTCTTCTCAAATTTTCATGTTGTTCTCATTCTGTGAGAATTTCTTTGCTTGTTTTGCCAGGAAAAAAAAATCCAAAAATACTGTTTCATATTACATGCTTTACTACAGCAACTTTTTATAAACATATTTGAAATCCCACTATATGTCACCATGGTAACTGATATTACATTATTCTATAAAGAGGTTCACTATGGCAACTGTATTTCAGTGATGGATGCAGGGTGAGGTAGAGGCTTCACAATCTATGCCACCCTATTTACTGTCGCAAGTGTTTCATGGAGACAGACTGAATGTCAACATCTCAAATCATAGCAAGTCTATGCGACTCTGAATAAAATGGGAAACGAAAATTGATGCTGTTTAGGAGCTTCTTGTTCAAATTGGAATCTTTCTTCTCTACCCCAATTCCCAACAAACAGTCTTCAGAATCTGCGAGCATCCATTTTGATTGCATTTTTGTTCACGTCATTTTTAAAAGCTGTTGCTTATCAGAGTCTCAGACATTATTTTAAATATTATTTTTGTCATGATATTGAAATCAATCTTGCCTCATTTACATATGAGCAAATAGACTTGTATGTAAAAATTCAGATATAAATAAATGTATCTGCAAAGACAATTTAAATAAAAGAAATGACAAGAAAAAAACTTTTATGCCAACACATTTCCTTCCTCAAGGAACTTTATTAAAAGCAAGTGATAAAGTGATTCAGTAACAAATACAAATTACTAAATGAAATTTCTACACTTGCCTTTGATAAAATTCCTCAGTGAATGAAACATATTGACAGAAAAGCTTTTTCTCTTGTCATTTCTTTTATTAATAGACTTGTAAATCTTTCTGCAATGGAGGAATGGTCATTCAAATAGAAAACCATGAATCACATACTTCACATCAATTTCATTTAAATTGTTCAACATCTTGCATCATTTGTAGATAAAATCTCATGAAAGGTTAAGTAAAACAACTATTAAGTTTTTGAGGTTAGACTTTTGATAAATACTAAGTTTTCATCTCAAACTATGAATTTCTAAGATTTCTTCAAATGTGATGTCACATTATCTGCTAGATAAGATTTTTAAAATATTACCTTTGCAAATTGTTCAAAACCTTACATATATCAGTTTATAAAATAGTTCAGTTAATCAGATATGATAAAGATATGGTTTAAATGTATGCTATATTTATGGATAAAAGTGTTCAATATCAGAGCATGTGATTATAAAATGTATAAATGAACACTCAAGTCAACATCAAGTGGCAACAGTGTTTCATGTTTGAACGTTTATATATATATATATATATATACACGCGCACACACACACACACATGTGTGTGTGTGAATGTGTAAATAGTGTTATGGTTATTAGAGTTGAGTTCAAATTCCAGTCAATTCTGTTTCAATATCAAGTGGTCAATTTTGAAGTGTATGAACACTTCCTAAACCTGCTTTTATATATAAGTAAAAATTTTCAAGAATTTCATCAAATGTTTAGTAACATTTTTAAATTGAATCATTTTTTACAAAAATTGTGGCAAAATGATTTTAAAAAGTTATTTTTATGGAAATAAAATTTCTTGATTTTCCATTAACAGT